ATAATAATTGTGATTATGATGATCTATTAAAAGATGTTTATGAATATACAAGTATTGTAATTACTGAAATTACAAATTGCTTCCCAGATTGTTCTTTACTTGCAGCAATGAAAATTCTAAATCCGGTAGAATGGTCATGCAAAAAAGAAGATTTGTTAGAATTTGGTCATGAAGAACTGCTGTCATGGGTTAATAGAACTCTTCAGTTACTAATAACCTAGCTCAGAGTAAGCACTTCTTCAACCAATGGCAATCTTGACACCTTTTTACTTTTCACAGGGGTGAGTATTTCGCTTATTTACTTTTAATGACTTTTATTTTTGCAGGTAAAATTACTTATTGATTCTTTATTTTTCGCTTTTCACTTAAATACAACTTTTAACTACTACTAAATTACATTCTGCATTGATCATGCCATTTTGACTTCTTAATTATTTATTACTAATCATGCCATTTTGACTTTTCAATTAATCACGCCATTTTTCCATTACGACATTACTCATGCACCGCTTATTACCTATACTGCATTGTTCCTATGAATACTCGATTACTGATTCCGATTCTGGTCAATCATCATGTGAGCACGTGACGATGGTCAATTTGATCCTTCTCCACCACAAAGATACTAATAAAAATTTTTTTTTTTTTTTTGATTCTTACTAATGTGACCAATTGTCTATTATTTTAGAGTTCCAAGTCGACCCCACGTACCAAGTACACCAAATACTGGTTCTTACCATAACACGAGCTAGATCCCCTGTGATCGTCATCCTCGACATCACTACCTAACTCATCATTTGTTTTTAGACCTCCAAATCGATCTCAGGTACTAGATACACTGCATACTGGTTATCACCATAACACGAGCTAGATCACCCAGAACTTCATCCCTGAAGTTTTCACTTTTGCAACATCCCATCTATCCAACACAAACATGCGCATCCTTAGTTTAACTACTATTCGCAACAAGCATATGATCTATCCCAATCCCTGTATCAACGAATACTATATATTGTTCAATTAATCACACACAAAAGTGTTTTTTTTTTTTTTTTTGGTACTCTTATTACTGACCATTGCTTAATTATACCTTACTTTAGTATTTATACCAACTGCTCATAATTCAATCTCACATCTACAATTCTGCTTGATCAGTACATAAATCATGTATGTCCTATACTCGTGACAGTTCATTTGAACCTCCTTAAAGACAAATATCGACCCTTCATCAAAAAAATTTTTTTTTTTTTTTATATTATAAGTATTATACTACAGCATTCCAGACATTGATTAGCGTTTTTCCCTCGATGAATACATATCTCATCAATATATTGCAACTATCGCCTATTCGTTTTATCAACAATCGACCAAGGACATTATCCTTATCTACATTGCTAGCTCTAGTTCTGCAATAATCCTTTACATGGATTTTATACTTGCAATGATATTTGCGCTCTTCAGGTCTATTACTGCCAACCTTAGCGATGCTCATATTATGGTTATTACCCGAATCAATTGAAATACTTTCATCATCACAGTAGATTATAGCTATGTCTTTTGGAGCTATACTTCCAACTAGCTCTACATCTTTCTCACCTAAATTAACAGATTCACCTTTATTAGACACCACGTCTGCACCCCTAATTCCTATTTTATCTCTTAGGTTTTCATCTCCTTTCTTAATTACGTCATCGTACGTTTCCCTTTCTTCATTATTCGCATTTGAACTATTACTACCCTTTTGGTAACTATACTCAATATCGGTTTGTCCACAAGACTCAACATCATCAGCAACTTTCGTATCCTACTCAAATACCACAGCTTTATCAAATCTGGCCATGCACTTTTTACTATCGGATTCCACAAGTATACTTTCAGCGTCACTTTCACCACAATGTATATCGGATATTGGAGCTTCACTTTTAATTAATTTTCCGCGGTCAAATACTAATCTATTTTCATCTTCTACTTTAGGTTCTATAACTGATTCTCCACCTTCGACATACTCTGAATTCTGCTCAAGCATCTGCTTTTCGTCCTTGTCCATATTACTGGTGTTTTGGTAGCAGGTGAGTATCTTATTTTCGTCCCTTTTAATTTCCTTCTTTTCCTCACCACAATGTCCGATACTATACAATCCACTCACATTCTCTTTCTTCTCATTTTTACTACTCTCCTTTTCATCACTTGCTTTAACTACCCTTTCCTTTGTATTTTCTACCTCTTTCACAAAATCATTACAATCCGCATTATCCCAGAACCATTTGAGTAAACTTGTCTCACAACTTGCATCAGGCTTTAGATCTTTGTTGGGTACTTTATTTTTATCCTTACCAACGTCTTCTTTCTCTGCACTATCACCTGCATACTACCATTCTAAGTCTATTTCGTAGGCCGTTAATACAATTATTTGGCAATATTAATGGTAATCTGCCAGGTTCTCATGTCATGAGTTAATAGAACTCTTCAGTTACTAATAACCTAGCTCAGAGTAAGCACTTCTCCAACTGACGCAACCTTGACACCTTTTTACTTTCCACAAAGGTGAGTATTTCGCTTATTTACTTTTAACGACTTTTATTTTTGCAGATAAAATTACTTATTGATTCTTTATTTTTCACTTTTCGCTTAAATACAACTTTTAATGCATTGATTACGCCATTTTGACTTCTTAATTATTTATTACTAATTACGCCATTTTGACTTTTCAATTAATCACGCCATTTTCCCATTACGACATTACTCATGCACCGCTTATTATTTATACTGCATTGTTCCCATGAATACTCGATTACTGATTCCGATTCTGGTCGATCATCACATGAGCACATGACGATGGTCGATTCGATCCTTCTCCACACAAAGATACTAATAAAAAAAAATTTTTTTTTTTTTTTGATTCTTACTAATGCGACCAATTGTCTATTATTTTAGAGTTCCAAGTCGACCCCACGTACCAAGTACACTGAGTACTGGTTCTCACCATGACACTGCAGACATTATTAAATCATTATCAAACACCAAAAACCATTAATGGACAAACCTTTTTACCATTAATAGAATTGGATTCTTGCATAGTCGAATGGTCTGGCTTTAAAAATATAGTTTTTTCTAATTATTTAATATTTTCTTCACAAGAGCTACTACCTGTTCTAAT